ATTCTGCTCAGGGGCCAAGAGTTCGTATTATAGAGTGAGGACTTTGTTCACAGGAACCGTTGTCTATGTATGTCATTAATCTGCACAATCCACAGAAAGACACATTTTTTAGGAAAAGAATAACTTATAGTAGGCCAACAGATACAGTTGGGTAAAGCAGATATCAGTTAAACCAGATTCATTTTCAAGTAGATGAACTGCTCTTTGGGTCCAAAACATAGACAGAATATAACTGTAGTTAATTGCTCTCAATTGCAGTTAACTGTTTTCATCAGTCAGACATTTGAAAGAAAAGTGGTTGCTATTTTGGGGGCAGGGCATGATCCTGGCCCAGTTAAGAGTACAAGAGATGACAGAAGCTAAATAATTAGAGGAAACAGTAATTCCTATCAAAGATCAGTAAGACCTGAGATATGAAGAGACACAGACATCTGTCAAATTCATCTGATATGGTGTCTGGTATTGTCCTGGGTTTGAGTGACTTGTAGGATTTTTGGTAGCAGGGGAGGGGGCTACGGTGGTGCCCCCTGTGAGAAACTTCTCGAAGCTCTCGTCTGCAAGTCAGACCCACCCCTGCACCAAGGCCGAGACAATTGGCTGCGTCTCTGCGATAACGTATTTAAGAAGGGACGTGATGATGTGCAGTCGGACTTGTGAGGAGGAGTTGCTGCAGCTGCGTGAACACCCAGGTCAGTGGAGGAACGGAGGAAGAAAGGAGGGGGGAGGAGTGCCGGAGCAGAGTCCCCCCAGTATCCTGTGGTGAGACAGCAGGGCGGCCCCCCCTGCCACCCGTGAAGGTCTAGAGTGGAGCAGACACTGATACATGGCCTGTGAGGGGCCTCTCATGTGGCCAGTTAAGGTGGCTGCACCCGAAGCCAGCTGGGACCCTGTGGGAAGCAGCCCCCGCTGTTGTAGTTTGGCGCTGGGAGGGTTGCAGCGTGCGGGGGTGTCCCACGCCGGAGCAGCTCGGGAAGGGCTGCAGCCCGTGGGAGGGAATCCAGTTGGAGAAAGTTGGTGACCTGCACTTGAGCAGTGTAAGGAAATGCTGTGGCCCGTGGGAGGGACTCACATTGGAGAAAGTTTGTGGAGGACTGTCTCCTGTGAGAGGGGAACCACGATGGAGCAGGGGGAACAAGTTCCGGACACTCCCCTCACCGAAGATGAAGGAAGTGGCAGCACTGACTGCACCCCCCATTCCCTGCCCCTGTGCTGCTAGGGGAGGAGGTAGAGATATCGGGAGCAGAACTGAGCCCAGGAAGAAGGGAGGGGTGGGGGGAACGTGTTCTCAAGATGTGGCAATGCTTCTCACCATCCTACTCTGTTAAGTGTTGTCGTTAGTGTCTGTAATAAATCTGTTCTTTTTTTCTTCCGCTAACAAGTCTGCTTTTTGCCTGTGACCATAATGGGTAATTCATCCCTCTCTGTCCTATCTCAAATCCCAAGCCTTGAACGTATTTTCTCCTTCTTATTGCTGGGGGGGAAGCGGGGAGTAAGTGGCTGTGTGGTGCTCAGTTGCCCTCTGAGCTCAAACCATAACAGGTATATGAGGGAGTTATACATTTTAGTTCTCTGGCCCATCTTTGATCTTCCAGTGTCAGGACTGCAAGGTTAGAGACAGAGGAGTTGTTTGGGGAATATAATTTTCTAACTGATAACTGGGTGTCACTGTTCTTTCCTAATTAGGTAGCACATGGTGGTTGTTTGGTTTTACCTACAGAGCTCCCCTCAAATAGTGAATGCATCGTGTGACGTCTATAACAATTTAGGATGCGCATGGGTAGGATCTGTGAATTTTGGTGGTTCTGGTGTAGCAGGTGTTTATCATGAGGGTAGTGGCAAGATTTGGATCCGATTTTCTCAAGCTACCTGGTTCTAGCCAGTATACGCTTTCAATGATGGAGCTAATGATAAGTGTCATTTGAAGGGAAGGAGGGGATTTTCTAGGAAAAATAATTTCAAGGTATGATTTTCTTCCAATATAATTTGCAAGTTGTTAATATTTTCCAATATACACTTATTGCATATTGTGGTATGTGATACTCGGTTGGGGATTTTCTTTCTGTATTGTAGTAAGCTTGTACAAGGTTTAGGTGGCCTCTTCAAATATGCAATCCTAGAAGAGTGTCACTGTTGGATGAACATCATCTGTAGCTTTTTGAGGGTGTGCCATGAATGTTCTCCTCAGAGCAAATGAGGTGATGTCTGTGGGCTGGTTGTATATCAGTTTTTCTAGTGTTTTGGATAGCTGATGGTTTGTGGAAGGAGGTGTGTTGGTCTGTGGATTTTCTCCATATGGTAGTTTGAAGGTTGCTATTTTTTATGTTGACCTTGGTGTCTATAAAGTTGATGCTGATGTAAGTTTTCCAGAGATAGTCTGATGGACAATTCTGGTTGCTGAATTTGTGGTAGAAATCAATGAGGAAGTCCAAGTTTTCAGTACAGATGTCATCCATGTATCCTAGTGTATCCTAGGAACCCACACTGGTGTGGTGGGAAGGTTAAAGTTTTTTTCTTGAGGTGGCTCCTGAAGAGCCCGATATCCTGGTGCTTGGATACAAGCACATGGGTGCTTGTAGTTGCATCTGTGATTTGGTGAGGAGGAAACTGTTGTGGATGAAGATGAAATAGATGGGCTTGATATATATAAGATGCCAGTTAGAAGGCTGGTATCACTTAGGCATGCAGGTCAGGTGTAATTCTTCCCTACTGTGGCATAGTGTTGATAATACAAAAGATGGTAAGAAGATAGTTTCTGAAGCAGTGATCCTGAAGGAAACATATTTTTCTGGAGAAAGCTGCTTTCATATATAACAAAGTGTTTAAATATGGTGTCTGCAGATCCTCCTAGCTCTTCAGTGAAAGTCTCCTTGGGCTTCCTTCTGTAAAAATCTAGACGAGCCACCTTAAGGTGGCAAAAGAAGAGTTTACACAATTTTCTCCTTCTTCATTAGGAAGAGATTTGAGCTTCAAGGTGAGAAGATCACAAGTCTCATCTGAGTTACTTCTCATATGGAAGCATCAAAAATCATCTGCTAGCTTCACTGATGCTATCCTAATTTCTCCTTTATCAGTTGTTTAATAACTGGTGACTGGATTTTAGAAACTATGAAGACTTTAAAAATACAGTTGTATTTTTCCAAAAATTATTTCACTGTTATTCCTCTCCTGAAAAAATTGTTATTGTAGACCAACGTAAAGTCCATTCAGGGGTGTCCAGCTCAGTGCCATGTGAGATTATTTTCATGGTTATTTTACAGGGGACGGTAGCTAGTTTACTTCTCTGTTTTTTTTTTTTTTTTTTTTCAAAAAAAGTTGAGACACAGTTAAAGAAACAATTCCTCCAGTTCTCTACAGACCACAATGCTACCAATGTTTCCTAGCATAAATGTAAACATTTGGAAAGAAGGGATAGGCGTAGCCGTCCATGGTTACGGTATTGCTCCATGACTTCCTGGTGGGTGATGTTGGTAAGCAGGTGCTCTCACCATCATTTCTCAGATGTTTCTCATTGTTGGTGAAGTAATTGTTATTGCACTATTTGGGTCCAGTGTTCAATGATATCAGCTTATTTTGATAGTAATTTGTTGCATGGTGGTTTGGTGTATTTCAGACAGTTTCCTTTAATTTGTTGGAGCACGTAATCATGTCTGGTTCAGTCAACCTCTTTGGGAGGTAAATTTTCTCAGTTTTTTAGCTTAGGCAGACCTAAACAGGATATTCCGTCATGTATCAAGAGTCGAAAATTGCACTGTTTTTCTACAGTCAAAATGACCTACATGGATCTGTGTCATTCTCCCATGTTCTTCAAAGCCTGAGCCAGACTTCAACTCACTTGCTTTTATGTCTGGACCATTTCCCCACTGAATTTTACAGGGCTGCAGACCTAATACATCTGTGTTGCCTTTGCAGAAAGCAATTTCACAGGATTTAGGAGAACCCTTTCCACAAAGTGGACTAGTCAGGCACATAAAATGGATCTACCGAAAAGATTGTCACATCTCCAAAAGTGTCGATAAACTGATGAGCCAAAGTCCAGAGTGGGGAAAGACTACGTGGAGTCAGAAGAGACTATGAATAGACTAAATGAGCAACTATGTGAGGGGAGACTTGACGTAAATGGGACCCCCAGAGAAAGAAAGCGCCTACAAACTGTAGCATGACTTAACGAGGAAGAGGTTTCGGTATTGAATGCAAGCTGAGGAGTGGGGAGCGCAGGAAGATGTTCCTAACCAAGTGTTTGGAAACACTTTTGTAGCAGACCAGCTGCGTGAGGGGAGATGGGGAGGCTTTGATCCGGCTTCAGCAGCAGCCAGTTGCCAGTAGAGTTTTCTGCCGTTTCACTACCCCAGTCCTTTAAAAAGACTCTGAACTATGTTGCCTGTTTTGGACAGCGCAAGTCAAGCACCATGTGTGCTCGTTTTAGCCTGGCCTGAGTGAGGAGTTAAGACACCGATGGGCTGACAGGCCTTCGCTCCGCTGAGGACCTGGATCCACCAGAGACCAGCGGATGACCGAGAGGGCCCACCCGGCGCGTGCACTGCTTCCACGTACCCCAGGATTTGGAGGAAAAAGACCCTCCAGACGCGACCACGGGCTCAGGGAGGCCTCGGCTGCCGGGGCGCACTGCAAACCTGAACAGGGATCAGGGGTGAGGAGGGGGAAGGGGACGGCGGCCGAGGCAGGGCTGCCTGTACTTTGTTCCCTCATGGTGGAGGGGAGGCGAAGGGTTTCACTTCCCGAGGAGGAGCAGCGCAGACGGCGATGGCGGGGCGACCGTCCCGGCGGCGGGGGCCGGGGCGGGCGGGTCCGACCCTCCCCTCCCTCCGCGGGCCGGTCTCTGCTCAGCGAGGGGAGGCGGTGGTGGTGATGTGTGTGGCGGCGGCGGGGAGGGGGCAGAGGCCCGCCGCCCGGGCCTGATTGGCCGCCCAGTTTATAAGAGGTGCCCGGCCGGGGGCGGTGGGGTTGTTTGGCCGAGGCCGGGGAGCTCGGCGGAGCCGCCCGTGAAGCCGTCCCGAGCGGAGAGCGGTGCGGAGCTGCCCGCGGCGCCATGCGGCGCGCCAGCCGAGACTACACCAAGTACTTGCGCGGCTCGGAGGAGCTGGGCAGCGGCGGCGCCGCCCACGACAGCGCCCCGCCGCCGCCGCCGCCGCCGCTGCCGCCGGCCCACCCGCACCCGCCGGCCGCCTCCCGCTCCCTCCTCGCCGCCCTCGTCCTCCTGGGGCTGGGGCAGGTGGTCTGCAGCGTCGCCCTCTTCCTCTACTTCCGAGCTCAGGTAAGCGGCGGCTTTGCCGGCGCCGGGGTGAGGAGAAGGAGGAGGAGGAGGAGGAGGAAGGGGGGGGTGGTGTCAACGCGACCCCTTCCCGCCTTCGCGGCAGCCGCGCTGTGAGGGAGCGGCCGGACAGGGCGGCAGCGGGCGCCTCGCACCTTGCAGCAGGGAGGGGAAGGGCTTCGCGTCAGTGGGATTAATAAGTTAAATAAAAAAGCAAGACCGAGTACACCTATAGTTAAGGCCCTGAAGTTGGACCAGCTTTGAGAAGGGGTCGGGCTGGAGGGCTGCCGGCCCCCTGCCCGGTTTATGCCACCCCCTGGTCGCTGGAGCTGCTCAGCCTGAGGTGCTTTAGGTAGTGCTCCGGCCTGTGGGTGCGTATTGGGGTGCGGGGTTTCTCAGCGGGGTCGGACATGAGGGGTCCCCGCCTCGGGAAGCAGCTTAATGATCCTTCGCCGAAAGCCTTGCGGGGCTTTGGTTTTTAATGATCATCACCAGAGCGGGGTTTGACATGGCTGAGGTCTTTGGCTGCCATAAATGTTTCACAAGCTGGAGAAAAGTCTTTAAGGAAAAAAAAAAAAAGAAAGAAAAAAAAGTCACCACACACCACCAGCACTTGGGATCGTTTGTCCTTCAGACTGCACAGGGGCACTGCGGAGCGGGGTCTGTGCGCTAGCGGGCATCGGCTGGAGGTGCCCGCTGTGGCTCAGGGGCTCGTCTCTGAGGGAGAGAGATGCTCCTCGCCCGCCAGGCCGCGAGCCTGCCAGGGGCATGGCGCTTCAAAAGAGGCAGCGGCGTGCGCGGAAAGGAGCACGGTGAGGTGTTGCTGTGGGGGAGATGAGGTGACGAGCGGTTAGGCTTTCGGAGAGAATAGGAGCCCGCTTCTTGGAAACAGCTCGGCTGGCTGGCTGGCTGGATTCACTCGCTGCTGTGTCTCTTACCTCGAGCTGAGCCCTCTCAGAGGAAGTGGGGGGCTGCCGGCTGGTTGCTTCTCCAGGCTAGGCGTTAGCTTGCTACTTGGCTTCTTCATCGGATGCTAATTAGTTCTGTTAATACAGTCTCACTGCCTTCATGGAAATGGTACTTCTGTTGTGTGTACTTTTCATTTGAAGTCAGTGAGGAGTGGAAACGCGTTTCTTTCGGTTTACTTTCTAGGTAGGTGAGCTTGATCTTGAGGTAGCAGACTGGATTTCTTAACAAAGTGCACTCTGAAAACAGATGTTGCACAAATGTATGTCCGCTTAAGCAGGTGAATGATTATCAACTATACAGTAATGCTGCTGATCATTTATTATGCAAACCAATTCATATTTTCTTACTGGCAATGGCTTTGTGTTTGCCATTTTTACGGAAGTAAAATGGAACAGCAATACAGTGCTTAGTTGATCATATCCTCTGTGCTTTGGAAGAGTGACTTAATTTTTTGTGACCCAATGTAAAGTATCTTAAAGCTGCTTGTTTGCTTGATGATGAAAGAAATTAATGCCTACTTCATCTTGTGGCAGAAAAATGTTTTTCCACTTCAGATCTGCATGTACTTGAAAAGACATCTTTGTCAAAACATAGCTCATAGAAATGCACAGCTATACATTGATTAGTAGGCTAGAGAGCCATTGCAATCAAAACAACTAATCAAAGTACACTTTTTGAAAACCCAAATTTTCCATTCCCTTTACCTTCCCCCCCTTATTAAGCACTCTTTCTGATAGGTTCATGTCAGTGCTTCACTCATGCCTAACAAAGGGTAATAAGATCTTTCTTGCCATAAAATGGCTATTTTCCTTCTGCTTCCGTGATTTAAAAAATTACATAGTTCGGGTGTAATGCTGCATTTGGCAGCTTAATTCTATTGCCAGTTTCATGTTCCTGTAGGTTTGGACTAATGCTTGTCATATGGAGTCCTTTGTAAACTTCAACCTCTGAAACCTCTAAAAGAGACGATGTAGCTAGATGTAGACTTGACTGAAGTCATTGCCTGAAAAATTAGTGATGGAGACAATGTCTTCTTTGCCATCACTGAAAAATAGAATAATAAGTTTACTTTTGCAGTAAGTAGATAAACCACAATAATAAGTTATGGTAATCCATATTTGTTCACCAATTTCTTCTTGTGCAATAAGATAGGTGGAAAAATATAGTAGGTCCTGAAGAAGTTCAGTCTTAGTTAACTGTCTTGCAGATTGTTTTATTTATGTGGGATGTGATCTGACCTCTTTCTTCTGGAAAGATTGCTGTCAAATTTAGTTGTATTAAGCTAACACAATTTGTACTCCACAGTACAAATTTCAGCTATCTGAATTTGTACTTTAATAGCAGAACTTAAGTATTACGGTATGTTTTGTTAAAATAATGAGAAGTTAATAGTAGAACCTGTGCATTGAAATATTTGAATTGTTTGATTAGTGAATGAACCAAATGTGAATTAGCAAGATTTGATTTTATAGGCTGATATTAAGGGATTATACATTTTATAAGCCCTTTAAAACTCTACCTAAGAGGCTGAGTAAACTTTGACTCAGTTTCACCATACATATTTTATCTGTATTTGCATAAAATCATTTGGGCTAGATCATGACACAATATGAGCTGAGACAATAGTTGAGGTTTTGTTTTTTCCTTAGTTTTGTTTATTTTGTGGCTTGAGCATTTGGAATTTCACAAGACATAACTAAGACTGACACTAGATTTTCATGGGTAAACACATGTTTCTGGCCAAGAAATAATGCAGTGCAGTGTAAATGAAACAATGAACTGGTATATTCAAAAAGAAAAAACTGAGACTCGAATTTTACCCATATTCTTGTAACAGTGTTCTGAAATGTAAAATCATCAAGATGTTCTGGCTTTTCTTTTTAGACCATCTTGTGAAATGTGCTGAATCCAAGAAATTAAACACTAACAAAATGTATTGGTCCCAAGTGTCTGTTTTGCTTATACTCCATGGGGAATATTTGCTCATGGTCAGTGAAAATGCTGTGAAAATTTAGTTAAATATTTGGAGCAACTGGAGATCATCACATAATAGACTCATGCACAGCACAGGTAAATGTATAGTCTCCAAAGGCTTTGCTTTTAAGCTTTTCTTTCTGGCCCATTTTATGTACTTAGATCATAGAAGAGTAGGAATATGGTCTAACACTGACTGAACTGGAGGGCAGTGGAGCAAGCTGGAAGTGTTCAAATCCACATGTAGGGGCTGGATATCTAACTCTCATAGTTTAACCTGGAACTCCAAGGTTATCCGTTTTTCCCATTCACACTTGGATAAATGGGGACCTGGAAGTCACATTTGTGTTGGCATTTCTGACCTTCATCATTGTGTGTTTTTAAACAATAGCCTTTCAGACTTCATCTAAGGTTTTGTGAGCATTCTAGAACAGTGGCTAACAGAAAACAGCTTGCTGGGGGTCATTAGCACTTTTTGGAAGCCTGGAAGAACCCCTTCTTGGTGGTTAAGAAAGATCATGCAGTGCAAAGTGATATTTGATAATCTGGAAATTGGATTAAGTTTGAAAATAAATTCAGGTATAAATGTTAAACATTTATTGTAACGAGTAAGTATAAAATATGATACTGTAACATTGTGTCATTGAGGCAACATTTAATAGGTAAAAGTGTCTGGAAGGTATTGTATCTCCTAAAACCAAACTGAATCTTTTTAACATTAGAAAATGGGTTTTTAATGCTATAAATTCATTTGGTCTCACCCCCTCTGCTGGAGTTCATTTTGGCTGCCCTGAGTTAAGTGAAAAGAGTCCAGAGATGCATCTAAGGACGATGAGAGGTGCTGAAAATCAAGGGGCTCCAAAAGATTTGATTCCAAGGTCAGACACAATGGATATATACACAGTAGTAACATAGGAAAAATAAGCTAGACACTGCTCCCTTTAAATAGGTTCCTCCAGGGTATTTAGCTTACTTAATGTGTTATAAAGCTTTCTGCAATGTTTTTTGTTGCATCGTGATGTTTCTTCCAGGTATTAAATCTTAAGAACTTCATGTTGAAGGCCTCTGTGCCTTGTGAGTTACCAACTGCTTCCTGTAGAACATTCCGGTGTTTTGTCTGGCTCTTTAGAAGCTCTTCTAAAAACATGTAATTGAAACTTTTTCTGTGCATCACTTATTGCCCACAGTTTTGGTCTCAGTGCTTGGTAATGTCTGTTTACAGCCATAGCAGTTCAATACATGTTCTTTATAAAGATATAAGATTCGTGATTTCTGAGAATGCCCTTTTCAGACAAGTAAGCGAATTTCATTGGTTAAATGTGGTGAAGACTAGGTGTTCTTTGAAAAAGGTAAGGGCAATCAGGTAGGTTAGCTAGTCCCAAGATCAGAGCTTCACCTTATCAAAAACTAAATCTCTAGAGACTTGCAGTTTCTCAGGATGGGCTGCACAGCTTTAAGTTGCTGAAGCTATTGGTTACAGTGTTTCCATTAAGCATTCAGTCTTTTAACTGTAAGTGCAGAGATGCTGATTTTCTGTTTTAAGCCTTCAGCAGATAAACTATAATCTGAGTAAGTGCTTCTGTACAATCTGCTGTTACTGTTCTGGCAGTGGGTTGTGTGACACATTTGACTGATTGCTGATCTGTGATAGCTGTAAGTCTATGCTACACATGATTTGTCATGCTGGATGCTCAGGCCTTTGCAAATTTCATGATCTTTGTGTTGTAGAACCTAGTTTTCTTGCCTACTTTTCCGAAGATGTGTTTAAATACATCCTAAACTAGGATAATAGTCTCTCACTATTAGAATTACTGATAAAAATTAATATCTACTGGCAGCAGTTATTTGCTGTAGCTTTTTATCTCCTATTCTGTAATGTGTGTGGAGGGGAGAAGACTTAGATATCCAGATCCTGTCGAAGACACTAATTCCTTCAGGTCTCTAACAACCCCAACATAAGAGGCTACATCTGGAATAACGGATCCCTTAGTACCAGAGGCATATCAACAAACCAGAGAGTCCAGCAGAAGACCACTATGATAGGTGGGGACCGCAGCGTATCAGACATGGAGAACTGGATTCTTTGAACCTAATGAAGACTAGGCTAAGGTGAGGGAAGCTAATCACTGTTCTTAGCTAGCTAAAGATGGAGCCAGGCTCTTCAGAAGTGCACAGCAAAAACAAGGGACACAATCATAAATTGCAGCAAGGAGAACTGTAGCTGCACATCAAACCCAGTGTTTCTACACAACAAAAGTGGTTAAATTGTAAAACAGTTTGCCCAGGGAGGTTGGAAGTCTTCATTGATGGAGATTCCACAAAGCTTGTTTAGACAAGGCCTTGACCAACCTGACCTATGTTACAAGCTGTCCCTGATTCCAGCAGGGGGCTGGACTAGAGACCTCCAGAGGTACCTTCCAGCTCAGGTCATTCTGTATTAACTGCCTTTTAGTAGCTGTTGGTGAAAGTTTTGTGCTTTTTTTTTTTTTTTTTTTTTACTTTCAGTTCACAGGTGATTATTCTGAGTTCTGAATACTAGTGGAACATACTGGGAGAGATGATTTTAGGGTGCAGTTTTACAGTTGTTAAAGCTAGTGCCGCCTTCCTGCTCTTTCATTCCTATGCCTGCCCCTGTACTGGCTCTGATGCCTGTCTGATACCTGGAGTGAATTGGTTTCGGGGTGCTAATCTTTCAGGAAATTAGATCAGCAAAAATTCCTCCGAGATTGTTGATTTAGAAGAGGTCATTGAGAACTGAGAATGAAATTATGTGGTGGTGAGAGCACAGGGGCACTGGTTTAGATCAGCTTAAACATTTAATGGGGCTGCACTGTACTTCAGAAGTCATTAGTGTAGTATTTAGTGCTTAATTCATAGAGCTGTAAAGGCTATACAAAGATTTTTTGTGGGATTCAGCTGTATCAGACCATCCCAGGAAGACGTTACTGCCTCCAAGCCACTCTGAAACTCACCTCTACTCCTCTGCTCAAAGGTGCAGCATCTTCTGATCTTCAGGTGATTTTTTTCTGACCTTGTTTCATTCTAAATCTGCAGGGATAACTGAGACAGCTAAACCAGGTCACAGGGGCTGATGTTGGTATGAATGAATCGGGCAAGCAGCATTCATTTGGAGACTTCAGCAGAGGGATGGTGATGGAGGAAGAGGCATTTGGTGTTGCTGTCTGTGCAACAAATGTTTCTCTGCAGTGTGTGCCTGTTGGATGGGTGACTGGCTGGTGTAGATTTAAATTAATTTCTGTAAACTCAACTTTATCCTTTTAAGTTAACTCTGTACTATTTTAGAGTTAGGGGGTTGAATTTACGTTTGTGTGAACAAATGGTATAACGAGTTTGATTCACTCTGGTTGTTTTGTATTCTGCAAAACTTTTGATGTTCTGTTTTGTTCACTGCAATGTTAATGGAAACTGAACACTGGTCAGGAACTATCCATAACGTCTTGGCATTCCCGCATCGTGATTACAAATAATGTATTAATTTGTGTAATTCTCAGATAAAATTGTTCCTTCCACCTTATACAGAAAGATAGAAGTAAATGTTCTTTATTAGACCAGATGATGCAGTTAGGGAATTTAGACAAGGTTTTGAGTGAGCAAACACTTCTTCAAGCCTGAAGTAAAAGCAGAATAAATACAAGTTGAGAACAATTGCTGAGGGTTTTAGGCCATCTCTGAAACAGTGGTTAATATTTGCATAATCCTAATCCTTGAAATACCCTTCCAATTTATCTAAGTGATAGAATTCAAGAGTATTCTAAATTTACAATTTAAAAGTATACTTGATTCAATCACAGAGACTGATTGCTAAAAATATCTTGCAGATATTCTAAACTTACCAGTCTGTCCCATGAAGTAGAGCTGTTTTGTGGTACAGTTTTATCACCTTTTGGTCTTTCTGAATTTGTGTTGTGTTACTTGGTGACTGTTTCATGCAGCAGTTACTCTTGCCCACAAAATAGTTTCAGTGATAACTGGCTTCTGTTTTTCTGTTTCTCCTCTTGAAAATACTGTGCTAGATGTTGTACATACTTTCCCCAAGTTTCTCTACTTGGCATTTGTGTGTCATCTTGCAAACTGCAGTTTTTACAGATAGGATGGCTGTGTACATTGCCTGCTAAAATAATTGTGATATTGCACTGAGTGGTTGAAAAATGGAATTCGGGTTTATTGATTTTACTGTAAGTGTGGGATTTATCTTTAACTTTTGAAAGTCATGTATCTAGTCTAAGCTAGTGAACTAGGCAGCTCCAGAAGATAATTCATTCTCCTATCTCATGCTTGTTGGATGAAATAAGCCTCCATGTGGGGAACTTTTTCTCTTCATTGCTTATAGTGAAAATATAGATAATAAACTTAGCTAGGTGCCAAATGTTTAGATGGTTGAAAATTCTCCTTGGCTTAAATGCTCTTGATGTTTCTTGGACAGACACTTAAAACTGTGGTTGTGCTTATATTTTTCTTTCAGATGGACCCTACTAGAATTTCAAAAGAACACGCACACTGTGTCAGAACACTTTTTGGACATCAAGAAAATACAGATTTGCATGATACATCCTTTGAAAATCAAGAAGCAAAGTTAATGCCAGAATCATGTAGAAGCATGAAACAGGCTCTCCAAAGAGCTGTGCAGAAGGTAAGTGGCAGACTGACTGTGTTCCTTTATTTCGTGCTCCTGTTGAGCTTACACCAATTTTTCCAACATCTGTATTTGGAGATGAGTTCTATAAAGCATTTTCTGGTGTTTGAATAATACCTGGAGTTGCATCCAAGATCATACTGTGTTTGCTCATGAACCTGGTAGTGGTCAACCAATTCTCTGTTCAAACACATTTTATTTATTTTTTTAAGAAAGGAGAAGTTGAAGTTGCACTGAGAAAACTGTGATTGCAATTAGTTGTTTGGCCATTTGGACGGGCTCCAGTGGTAGTCATCCTAATATTTGTATAGGTTTGCCAACACTGTGGATGTTCAGAGAATAGGACAGTTCCACATTTTTTTCAGAGCAATCTTCCTGACTCTGTTTCTGACAAGATTCTCCCAAGTCAAGCTCCCAAGCTCAACAAGCAAAATACTGCCGCAAAAACAGAGGAGACAACATTTGCTCATTTTGTACTTTCTGCAGCCTGAAATGAGGGATGGTATCTCTTTTTTGTTCGTTTTGCTCACTTTGCCATTTCTGTCCTGTGCTGACCATTCCCACACTGGCATAAAAGTTATTTTGCCATAGCACAATAACTGGGCAGTCGGCCCAGCAGTTCAGAATGACAGCTTGTTCCCAAACACAAATAACAGAAGCAGTTGGCTAAAGTAGTCAGCCCTAATGAAGTCTAGGCAAGCTGGTTATATGTCACAATCCCCTCTTACTACAGTTACTGCCTTTGATCTCTTTGCATGTTCATGATAGTGTTTAGTGCTAATTATGGGCTACTTAACAGCTGAGTGTCTGCTATGGTATTTGATTTTCCTGCTTTACCGGGTCCATTAAAACTTTCCTTCTTCACATCTGCATAGGACTCAGTTTTTCATAAAGGGTACTACATTAGATTTGAGCTGAACGCACATACACTTTACAGAGTGAATTGTACTTGAGTTAATTAACTAGTACTTTAAGTGTGCTAATGTAATGTTTGCTTTTAACAGAGTACCCTGAGTGACAGATCTTTTTGTGAACAAAACTTAAAGAAACCTAGGAGTTATGTCTTGTCCTTTTAGCTAGCTACCTCCTTTAAAAACTTAAGGGCAGGAAAAAAAAGGGTTAACTCTGTGAGTTAGTTCTTTCCTCCAGCATTTTATAGAGAATCTTACGCTGCACCTACTTCTGTTCTGTGTGCTGGTACTAGCCTGCTCGTTCATGTGCCTCCCATGACAGAGTAAGGAGCTTGTTACAGTAAGTGAATGGGAAGCCCTGCATTCTGGTCATTCGCTGCTGGTTACTCAACAAAGGCATTGGCTTTAGTTGAGGCTGCATATCCTGCCATTCTGGATGGAGGTTAAATGCTGCAATGTCCGTGGCCAGGATAAGTAGTGAGTAGGGATAACTTTTTTGGCTGATGACCATTAGTTTGAGAACAATAAAATTTCCCCTGCCAAAGTATTCGGACTCTGAATTTCCTTTGAATGCAACAGAATGTATTAAGCCGCTGCATCAGTGTTCTGGATGCTTTGTCATCATATATTGATGACACAGAAAAAATAAAGATAGGAAAATGTTTGCCTGGGTCTACATTTGCATCTTTTTGATATATCAGAGAAGTGAAAGAAACAGTGTTAAGGCAAAATTATCATGTTCTGTAAGCTCTGCCTTTCACTGGCTCTGCTACAACGAAGGGCAGAGATGCAGCTGAATCTTACTTCCAGTTGTGCTAGTCCTTTATGTGTAAGACTGCAGCTAATGTCACTTGGAAGACGTTTCCTTTTGTCTGTGCTTTCTTCAGTTTCCCGAAGGAGAATCTAACCTGTGTCTGTTTTAAGAACCAGTATCCTTAGTTGAATTGGCAGCATGTTAAGTGACTGAAATGGAACACTTTAAAATACCGTTTCAAGTTTTGTGTTTTTTTTTTTTTAATATTTTGTCTTTTGCGATTCAAGCCGTTCAGGAAATGAAAATAGACAACTTGCTTTTGTTCACGCGCATGGTCTGGTTACAGCTTTTAGCTTACTGCACTGGTTCTCATCTGTTCTCTTTGCACACCTGTAGACATAATGCTTAAATCTAAAGCAGGGATTAACATTGAGAATGAAACTACTCTTATGAAAACCAGTGTAGTAAGGCTGCAGGGTTGGGTCTAAAAACATTTGTCTCCTGAAAAAATAATAACTAAAGATTTTCTTTTAATCAAAATCTAATGGTGATTTTTTTAACATATTCCAGGATAAAAATACTGCTTAGGGAGCAGCTCCTGCAGTACAAAGCACCTTTTTAATATTGCATATAAACTTTCAAGCAGGCAAATAAAATAATATACTTCCCCAGCTTGTCTGTTTGCTTTTTTTTTTTTTTTGCATGTAACCCTAAAAACCTTTTGACAGTCCAGATGTACTAACCACAGTTCTTAAGTCTGTTATGAGCCTGAAGTAGAAAGGACTACAAACATATCTTGGGTCAATTCGTAAGTAACTTTTCTTGGCAATACTCCCAGCTTCTAGCAGCTTGGGTGAGTTCAGGTGTAAACTAGTCTCCCACATGGCAACAGAGTACTTCGCTAGACCTCCAGGGCAGCATTTATAAAGGGATCTATATATTTAGCAGACATTTAAAGTGCACATAGTTATGGACAAATTCAACGTTTCGCGAGTCATTGCTCTCAGTTGTTAAAATTTCACAGTTTCCATCCTACAACTTTACGTGCCTTTTTTTTTTTTTTTTTTTTCCTGCAGGGATTAGAGTGCTTATTTGGATAGAGGTTGTAGTGCTGATCTCTAAACTATCTTCTGATAAATATTGGTTCATGTACTTTGTATTTCACTTCCTTCCTCATTAGCATTCTTCAAATTGCTGAATTTCCGGCAAGATAATCAGATACTTCTTCTTGGTATTAGCTGGACTTGAAGCACTAGTGTAGTAGAAGAAACAACTGCATAAAGGAGCTTTAAGATCACAGCTGAAGCAATAAATTAATGTCCAGAGGGGTTCTTTTCTGATTGGTCTCAAAGGGCTATTTATAGCTGCTCAGAGTAGATACCGAGATATTGTAAAAGCCAAACAAGAGGAAAACCCATTCACGAATGTCATGTGTTCAAATGTAGCCTTGTCTCTGCATCCTCAACATTGGTCATAACTCGAAGAGCAAGAGTTGTTTTTGTTTTGAAGATACTGAGATGCTAAGGGTTAAAACCTGCAGCTTGGTCTGGATGAGGAAAGAGCAGTTAACAATTTTCCACACACTTCAAGCATGATTTTAGCTTTTAAAATGTGAAATATTTGCAGCTTCTCAATGGCCCCTTACATACTTTGGATGAAGGGAGACATATTTTTCATTTTCGTGACTGGCTGCTTGTCTGTTTAAACAGTGACTGTATGAAGCAGGTTGGAATGTGGGGGAAGCAAGCCAGCAGAGTTGACTTGTTGGGCAGTGAGCAAGTGATGCAAAGGTGTAGAAGTGCACCTTGTCATAAGACTAAGTGGTGTGATTTTTGTGTACAGTTTTTCTAAAAGTAACTGAACAGCTTGGTAGTGCACATGGTTCTGTGGGTGGCAGTCTTAAGAGAAGTCAGTGGTAATATTTTTTGTCAGCAGTTTTCATGCCATTATAGCAATGCCTTAGTGACAGGTTCTGTTGAACTTTTTCTGCTTTTTTTACTGGAAGTGTATATTATGATTAAGTATGAGATGCTTAAAGATATTCAGGTGCTAAAGAATACAGTTGATACTTTAGAGATTTGGAAAATCCTAGCTCTTAATTCACTGCAGTAAGAATACCAGGGGATTTTTATAATCCCACTGAAAGGCCATCTTTAGACATCTGGATATCTTCAGTCATCCACTGAAAAAATGTGGTTCTTAAGTCCTTCAGGTTCAGAAGGAAGCAGATGGTAAAATGCTTTTCTAAGGTAGATTGTATATCAGCACCTTCGAACTGTACAAACATGATGTAAACAATCCAGATAAGTGTTGAATTACTTACTCTTCAGGAGGAAGCCCACCGCTCCATCTCTTATCTAGGGACTAGGTCATGTATTTCATCATCCTTTTGGAAGCCTGGGCAACAGAACAGAAAGGAAGATCAAATTTTTGTGAGGCTGATCAGAATCAAGTAAAGAAATTGATGCTAGTCCAGTGTTTGGAGAACTTGGCTGATGGAGGACTTCTGTTTTCTGGCCACAGGCTAGCCACTTCTAATCCAATGACAAGCATGCACACAAGAGTCAGTGAACATGAGCCAGTCCCCGTCTTTTCTCAGTGTGTTAGTATTGGGCTTGTGTTTATAATCTCCCTTTTGTTCTAATGACACTAATTGCATAGTGGTATAACTACTATGAGGAGTACAGGAGAGTGTTGCTGTCAGAGACGCATGCTCCTAGAAACCAGGAAAGTTGGCTCAAGACCATCAGGACAAGAAGAGCTGTGGACCCAAGTCTTCCTGGGTAGCTGTTGTGCTTACCAAGTGGTGGTGATGTGGACGAACAGCACCACCAACAGTTAGAAAGAAAGCAGCTCAGACTGTTTCATGAGGACCACAGCCTTTCTGCATGGAAGATGAGCTGAGTCAGGCTGCTAGATGTCAGAAGGTAAGATACTTGTAGCTGCTGAAGCTAGAGCATCTTTGGACACGTGCAGAAGCAGAACTCTATACTCCAAAGAAAAATATAGGTTTAAGAGGAGGATAGCAATTGGTGAGTTCAGGGACTTCCAAGGGCTGTGCAGTTACCAACCATGGGATATTTTTATTTAGCATGAGTTTAAATAATAGGAGATTAAAATGTACATAGCTCTTTTTGGATCTGCCCAGTAGGCTCTCTAGGCAAGGACATTATCACATCCACCAGAAGGAAAGGATATGAAAGTAGACTCCACATCTGAGAAGTTTCCATTAAGAAATCAGGAAAACAAAGGAGTCTCCCCTTTCTAGGGAAAGGGTTGGGAGTAGGTGTGGTGAAGTAATCTGAGAGTGCAGTCCATCTCCCAGTCTCTTTTACCTTATGTCTTGTTCTCTTCAGAGGCTTTTGCCACTTCTTGCAGTATCTAGTACTTGCAATTGTTTGTTGTCTTCCTATTTCTGAAGTTAAAGAGCTCAGGTGTGGCTAGAGGCAGATACTGGTGTTTAGCTCCTAGAACTGAGCTTCATTTTCATGCTCCTAGAACTGACACTGAAGTAGGAAGATCAGAGAGGGGAAGTGAATGTAAATGGGGGAGGTGGACATGAGTTTTGCTTCTTTTGAAGTTGCAATTGTTCTGCTTTTCTCGTCTCTACAGCAGAAAGCATCTTTAATGATTCTTATCTATAAAATCAGCATATCTCTGCTGAAGTATTATGCTTTGATAGTCATACTACAACTTCCATACTGCTGTGGCTTTTCATTTTGGTTTAACATTTAAACACCTACTGAAAGGGGAAAGTGAGAGTAATAAATGCACTAGTGAAGGCGTTACAGATTTCACTGTGGCTGCAAAATTACATAAAAGCAGGACTTCAGGTGTTTGCAAAGCAGGATTTCAAATTCTAGTTTTGAAATATAAATAAAAATCTAGTGATTGAGAGCACAGTGGAACATTGCTGATCTGGCCAAATTTGAGGTGTACTGCATATACATGGTATTGAATCAGATGGACAGCAATATTTGTGAGATAAAAATAAAACAAAGGACTACTCTTAGGTTTCAAAGATGAGAAATTATTTGCTATCTTCAGAAAAATGTTTCCTTTTACTAATATCTTCTTGATGGCCTCATGTTATGAGATATTCTGAATAGCAAGTAGAATATGAACCTTTTTTTTCAGAAAACAGAGATGAAGAGAGTCAAGGAGAAACAGGAGACAGAACTGAGGATTGAAATTAATATTACCAAGACTCAGTCTAGGCTTGTAACAAGAACAGGCTGCTTAGGTTTTTGAAAACTGCTATTTGTATGTTTTTTCAAGAGGAAAACGGGTGTGGATTATTAAAGGCAAGGCCTCTTGCAGTGCCTGATGTCTGTTACTTGTACTGGTCTTGGTTTTGGGTAGTGTGGGTTTCATTCATGTTAAAATTCATCTGCAGTTTTGAAGAATGGATGCTTCCAAACTCTGGCACCCAGTCCATTTGGTCCAGTACAAATGTCGAAGATGCTTAATCCTTCGGCTCCTGCATACCTTGCTAGAAATGAGCTTTGATTTTAAAGCCTTGTAGTCTTACAGCCTTCCCTGTTAGTGGTCAAGTGTGAGGGGTAGAGGTTTTCATTTACCTCAATTTAACTCATCATAAATTAATTTCAGAGCTTAGGTTTCCTTAGTTGTTAGTGTGATTACACACCAGTCCCTGTGTAAAACTGCTTCTTCCGTTACCTTTTGACACCAAGTAATTAAATCAGTTCATAAACTCCATTATTTTATGTGATGCATTCTTAGCAGACATTGTTTCACTACACTTAAAGAAATATTTAAAGTGCAATAAGTAGGAAAGGTTGTAAATGTCCTTTCACCACTACTTCAATAAATACTGCAGTGATCATACACACCATCATTCCTATCCGCCTTTAGCATAAGTATTGGACAGAGGAAATAATTTTTTTGTGGCAGCTAAACTGTGTGATTTTATTATACATTATGTAACTATGAGAATATGTATCTCAGACATCTGAATATAGGTAGAACAACCCCCACATATATATACAGAGTGTTGTAATTGTGCAAACTACTTGCAGTATGTGCTATTACAGAACCAAGACAACATCAAAACAATGGCTGTTTCTCATTTTAGGAAGTCCAACGTGTCATGGGAAGAGCACCACCAAGACCAGAAAAAGGTAGGTGCTGGTAATAAAAAATAATAAGAAATATTTTAGTTCTACTAAACTTATCTTTTTGAGGTAATGCAATTCTTTTATCTCTAGCTGCAATGGAAGCATTAGGAATGGATCTGTACAAGAGAAACAAACCCGAGAAGCAGCCATTTGCCCATCTCATTATTGATGATAAGAATATTCCATCTGGTAAGTTCAGTTTTAAGTGAATACTTCCAATGCTACTCTGTCTTAAACAGTGAAGTATATGAAAATAGTTCAGCAATACTAGCAGCAGACTGGCATTTCAGAAATGGCTTTTGATAATGAGAATAGCATGTGCTAAAGGATTTCAGAGGCAGCAGGGGTAATGTTAACAGGAAGATAGCTCCCCTTTGCCTCAGGTATCTTACATCAGTCTGTTAGGTGCTAAATGGCCTCCATTTTAAATGACCAGTTTTCATGATCATGCTCTTAGGGCTTGGCCTGCCTCTTTGTGCTGTCTTCAGGTGAGGAATGAAGATATGCATTGACTGCTCTCCTCTGAAGTTTCTTATTTTCTTTGGCTAGTAGGGGCCATCTGGAGTTCTTCACTTACACTGAACATCAGCTATAGGTATACATACATACAGATGTGTGCATAAATACATACATACAGACACGGATATACCAGCACAAAGATTGTCCAGAATCCAGATGTTGCAGGTGGGAAGAGTCCCTTCTGCTGAATTTACGATTTTTTTTTTTTTTTTGGTCCCGTTGTCAGCAGAAGAGATGTGGTGTTTTCTGTTGTAAAATTCAAGAATGTCTTATGTCCACCTATTCAGCCCTTCACAACAACACTCCTGTTGTTACACATCAGGTCTGTGTAACACAGCATTTGTCTTCAGGGTGGGTCTGGAAGCTGAGAATCTTACGTGAATACACAGCGGACATGCATGTCAGGTGCCCATCAGTGTAAGAACTTGCCATAAAGGAAGCACATTTTTCATTTTGAGGTATTGAGAACCTAGAACTGCAGTCCCAATGTCATTATCATAACTTGCCTGCTAGTCTCCTGCCCTCTGTGGCTACACTGCACTCTCATAGCATAGGGCTGAATTTATAGACAGTGTTTTCTTCTGCTAATGGCATGTTGAAAAGGTTTTGCCATATTCCATTCATTATTGTGTTGCAGGGCTGGTATAGACTTTTTTTACATCAACTCCCAGGGCCTTCCTGATGTTCAGACATGCCAGAGCTTCACAAGGGTCCGTGTGCATCCATCTAGTCCAGTAGCAGGAAAATCAAAGATCATAGCATTGTACTGAGCAATAGGGTTTCTGGTCAGTGTGTTGACTTGGATGCAGTATGTTTCTGAGCTATTGAGTAGGGGGAAAAACTGTACCTGTGCTTTTTATCTGCCCCTGTGGTAGGAGGATGGCATTCTTTTATCTTGCCAGGACTCTTATTCTCTACCCACAAGTATCTTTGGATGGCTTTGGGAATATCCTCACTAGTACGATATGAGGGAACAAGACATGAGTCTGCCTTGAAACGCTCTCTGGAGGAAGAGATTAATTCTTACAATTTTAAGATATCTTAGTACTGTTTCCTTTTTTGCCCTGGGGCATTGCCGGTTGAGATTTTTCTCTCTGTATTCTCAACACAACAATCATCATTGGTGTGGTAGAAGTAAACCGGAGTTTATTTTGAAGCTATTAGAGGATCTCCAGATGGGAGGAGGCATTGATCACCACTCTCTTCCTCCCCTGAAGATATATACGTTCTGCAGTGCTGAACTTCTTGTTAATTAAGCTATGTGCATTGCTTTTCTGTTTTATATAACCAAACCAAAGGGGAATGTTGTGTTGAGGCCTGAAATCTGAGATTTTCGCAGCCTGCATAGTAATATCTTGCTCTTGCTCTATTTAAAGACAAAGCACTTCTGTACACAAGGGCTTAGTTTCTTGCCTGGAGGGATAGGATTCTTTCTTCCTTCAAGTGCATTGGCATTGACAGGATCCGGAGCTTTATAAGCAGAGAGCTCAAGCAGATTGTCAGATGGCAGTCAGAACTTCTACAAGCTTTCATATTAGCTAAAATGCCTCCTGACAGGCTTCTATTTCAGACAGATTTTGGCTTTTGGCATAGGTCAGTAGTAGAAGATGCAGTATCAGTAAACTTGTCTTAGCATTTTGTCTTTGGAAGGATTCAATTAATTTGCTAACCATAGAGACAGATCACTTATATCTACAGAACTGGAGTGTGTCAGTGTCACACATGGTGAAATCCACCTTTTCCTGGGGGGAATTTACTTGCTGTGTACCTGGATGTTGCTGTACACTGTATTTTTATCAGGGCTAGCAGCTGATAATTTTTTACTGTTCATTTACTTCATTAACCTTCTAGGGAGTGACATAGCACATCTTTGGGTAATGACAAGGGAGACATTGCTCTTGCTTGCTCTCTTCACTTTTTTTTTTTTTTTTTTAAATAGCACAGGCTGCAGGAACTCTCAGAAATACAGTGCCTGTGTCAAGCTTTGTTGTTTCACCTTGGAGATAATCAACCCCTTACCAATGTGATGAGTTGGATAAACTCCCACTTGGTCTGGCCCATATGGCTTCTCCCTCTTTTGGAAGAGCATTGCCAGGATATTGATGAGGAGCACAGCTTCTGCAGGTCCATGTGGGCATTGCAGCAGTGAGGGGCTGTATCCTTATGGATAGCTGGAACCCTGAACCTACTGGTTGTGAGGTACTTTAGTATCATGCTCACTGGTATGAGGCAGCACTCACCTGGTTGGGTGGCATAAAGGATTGAAGAAGTTGTCTAAGGGTTACCAGGAGTTTTTCTCTCTCATCCTGTTTCCTCAGACCACAAATGGCAATTTCTATTTTCTTCCCCTGATTCCTTACCCTACATGGCTGAAATCCTTCTAAATTGTTTTATGCCATCCTTGAGTCTGGACAGATCTGTTCTAAGTATTTTAAGGTTCTCTACTGTCATCGCTCTGACCCAAAATAAACAATTTCAGGAAAAAAAAATCATCAGTCTTCCTTCACTGTCAAACAGGTTTTTAAGTAGTTTGCCACTGAACACTGTTCATTAAGGGGCACTGAGCAGTGTCTGTGACAGAACGTTTTCCTTTTACCTGGTTCACAATAATATCAAGCCCCAAATGAACTTTTGCAGCTGGGGGCAGTGTGAGGGAGGGGGAAAATAACCTTTCCCAGATCTTGGTGTCCCCACCCATCATTTGGCTGCAGAAGTTGTAGTGGTTTGGCTTACTGTGTGTATTTTTTAGGTTTGCTGCCTTAGGTTAAAGCTGGATGCTTGCTGGTTGGTTTTTACCAGAGCTCACTATAAATGCTACCCAGGTTTTAAATGAAAACCGTGAATTTTGGTTTATAAACTGATGAGAGAAATTAGTCACAGTTTAAAGGAGAAAATCACAAACAGAAGTAAATATAAATGTTAAATATATCATTCGGGATGTGAATTGATACCTTTAGCTGTCTAAGGAAATGCTGTAGTATTCTGAGATATTTACAGCTACAGGTTCAACTTAGCTGCCCTTTGCCTCCAAAATAGTTTTTCAGAGCAAACAGTGCTTTGGTCCCTCCCTCAGGCTTTATACCTGAAAGCTGCTAGGATGAAAACAAATGATTAATACAAGGCTACTTTCTCCTCTGTTCCCCTCCTATCATCTTCCTTCTTACTAATTAATTTTATTGATACTGATTTGTATTAGTCTTAGTTCATACTCACAAATATCCAAGACATTGTTTTGATTTGTCTTCAGTTACCAGAAACACTGTGTATTATCTTGACTTTTTTTATAAAGCTTTTTACCGTGTCTGGAAGGTTATCTTACTCATTATCTCTCTGACCTCTTCCTTCTCTGTCAACATGACTTACATTGTGCTATTTTTTTCATGGCTCCATAGTAAATTTTATCACAGAAGATACTGTATTGCATGAGTTATGTTTCAGAGTTTCTGATATATGGACAGATGATTTGACATTTGTATGCTCCAGATTTCTCCTCTGCCTGTGTTTTGGGGTACTGATTGTTTTGCTGTCTTCAAATTTGGGTGTATTACCACAAGAAGTGCTGTGAGCCTGCTCGTTCCTTCCATTAAAGGTTGTATGGCATATCTCCTACCAATGCATTTTTGTATTCTTCTGCTGTTTGTGGCATACCTCTTCTCAAGCTCTGAATTGTGGCAAAGTGCCCATCTGCCTCAGTTAATACAATCATATCATTATAATTTAGGTTGGAAGGGACTTCCAGAAGTTATCTAGGCTATTCCTCTGCTCAAAACAGATAGGGTCATCTTCTGTCGTCTCTTGGCCTGTTCCTCCACCTGACCATGGACAAATGGTGCATATTCCCCTCAACACCAAAACTGTGTGAACAAACTTCACCCAGACCCCACCTCAGCATCTCAGTTGGAAGTGACTGTGGCACCTATTTTCTCTCTCTCCCCTTCTTCAGCAGAGAATTGTGCATTCACACTAAGGATTTCTTCAAAATTGCTACCTGATTGAGACTGGCAACTAAAAGGTTTACTTGCCAGGTAAATAAAATCTGCCTAGCAACTACCCAGTGTGCCACCAGTCAGTCACAGCATGCCAACATACCCTTCTCCTCCGTCATGTATACATTCCTGTCCTGTCTGTCTGATGTGCCTCTCATGATCCAAGCAGCAATTTCTTGCCTATCCTCCTCATCTTGAAGGTAGCCCAACCTCCTTGGGGCAGTATTTCTGGCAGACTTAACACTGCGCACAAGATGTTCTACAAATTCCTCAGCAATCCCCAGTGCTTCAGAGGTGTACTCTGGTACCCCTACCTCAGCATCTCGTGCAGGCGAATAATTCCAGGCTAACAGACTTAAGATTTTAGTGTGGATTCCAATTAATTGATGGTTTTCAGAGGTGGGTTGGTTTTTTTTTTTTTGAGGCACTGCACAAAACACAGCTTCTCTGTATGATCTTGCTTGTATAGTTTCTACCTGGCTACACTGGAGCCATAGGGGAGCAACTATTTATGATCTGCCTTTGACAGCCTGTGTTTCTCTCAAGTCTCTGTGGAAGAGTGCCAGAAGCTTTTTGTTCTGGACTACTGTTAAAGTATTCTTCTCACATGCAAAAGTTGCTTACCCTTGGCAGTTAGAGAAGACTCATAGCTCTCAAATTCCCTTGTCCCTACTTCCCCTCACTTCTTTCTGCACAAATAAATCCAAGAAGCATCTTTTTAAACTGATCAAATATACCTGGGTCTTTTCCCCACCATGGTTGTGAGCACTGGTGGTTCTGGGGCATGCCCTGATACTGTGCTTGGAGGAGAGGGCACTGGACCCTGCCATGTGCTGTGGAATGTTCGGTGGGAATAGATTGTGTGTGTTTGATGTTGGGAGAATAAGGTACGGAATATTCCAAGCAGGCATTTAGATGCACTGGGAGCCCAAGGTATAAGGTCTTTTGTTGCCCACCTAGATCCACTGCTGTGGGAGGGAGCAAACGGGGTTAGTCTTGTGTTCTGAAAATTGCTAGTGGTTAGGAGGACAAGTTGGCCAGCTCTCCTCTCTTATGTTATAGCCCTGTGTATCACACTGAATAAATGGTAGAGTGTTAGTGGCTTGTGTGTATCAGGGAGGGTCAGGGCCTGCGTGGCTTTCTCAGGACAGTGCTGTTGCCTCTGTGGGGGCATGCCAGTGGGCCTTGCCTGCATCTTCTCCTCCCACTGTTGCCTCTTTCTCTGTTTTTGAAGAGGCTATGAGATGAGGTGGGCACTATAATGCAGTGGTGGTGAAGCTGGGGAGGCAGAAGGGACTGTGGCCTGTGTGCTGCAGGGCATGCTCCTCAACAGAAAATACTGTGGCCAGGTTTGGAAGGCAGATTCAAATTTTCTCTCTCAGTGCCTGTCTGACCTTCCTGCCAGGCCATCTCTTAGCACAGCCTTAATAATAGGAGCTAAATGAAAGGACATCTGAGACTTGACCAGCTCAGAACCTCCAAGAGATGACACAAAGTGGCTACTTGATGATGCTACTCAAGAGGTGCCTTTTGGGCCAGAGTTCCTGGGGGACATTTGTACCTGTATATGTGAAGTTAGCTTTCACTGACACTGCAGAGCTGAGGAACTAATCAAAACATCTCCAGTCTCTCAGCTCCTTTTTGTTATTTTCACAAAGCAGTCACTTTAACAGATAAGGGACAGCTTCCTGTTTACCAGGCTACCATCACATCAGCAGAGCTCAAAAGGCTTACATGTACCAGTTAGAAGGGAATTCAGTAATACTTGTTTACATACGCTAATTCTATTAATCTGTTCTTACTGGTAGTCAGATTTGGTAACTATTATACATGTATTTTGATTCCCACATGCATGATGTTCTATAGAGAGAGACATTATCATCATAATTTTTTTCCCTAATTGGATTTCCAGCTCAAGACAACTTGATGGGGACTGTTCTGTTCCAAGCATGGCATATCAACTCATTGTTTCTAGTTTGAAACTTAAGATACTTTAAAGTAAATAAATAAAAATAAGAAGAGAAATAAAAAAAAAAAAGGAAATGCATTCAGAGTCACATCTGTCTTCCTAAAGCTCTTTTTCTAAGACCTTCCACTAGATATTAGGCAAAATAATTTGAATTTACCTCCTGAACAGCCCAGCTGTAAGTATTTGTACAACTGTCAAGGAGTTAGGACTGTGCTGTGGGCCACTCTCCTAGATACTTAGGATATGACTAAATCAGTTTGTGGAGCCTTCTTCTGGTATATGCAAACACTGGGTTAAGTTTAAACATTATTTTTTCATATAAAGCTTTGTTATGTCATAAATACTAGAAGTGCTATCTAAAGTCTAGGCAACTTATGTAGTACTAAAGATGCAGAATTATACTGATTTTTTTTTTTTTTCCCCCCATTTTTTGTTCTCAGATGAAAATATGTTTGCTTTTGTACCATTACATTCACAAGAACATAAAATATGGGAAGCTTTCATCAGCTTTCTCTTCAGGGAATTATCAGTTTAACTTGTTGTCAGATTTGTAGTTATTCCTTGGAGACACTTACAGGTTAAAGACTGATAACAAGATCTGCTGTTTGTTCATTAGTAATTTTTCTTTTCAAATTTCTCTCGAGTATTTGTTACTCAAAGTTTTAGGTGGAATGCAATTTCTATATGGAGCTTGTTGGATGATTGCTTAGCATGATCAAACTATTGGCCAAGCAATTATGTTTTAACATGGTCCAGCAGCTGTTTTGGTGGGAGGGCAGACAGTTATAAGTAACAGGCCAAATATGGCAGTACATGATGAAAAAAGGAAACGTATGAATTTTTATCATAATTGTCCAATATTCACTTTAGCCTATATAACTGTAGTTGCTATTGATTCTAAAAGCCTGGAGATTGCTTTCTAAATGTTGGGGTTTATGAAATGTTCATAAATATTTTTTTTTTTCTTCCTCCTCAGGAACTCGCAAAGTGAACCTCACGTCCTGGCATCATGACAAAGGCCAGGCAAACTTATCAAATATGACATTCAATGATGGAAAGCTAATTGTTAATCAAGATGGTTTTTACTACCTTTATGCCAACATTTGTTTTAGACATCATGAAACTTCGGGAAACCTGACTAAAAGAGGGCTTCAGCTGATGGTATATATGACTAAGACAAACCTTAAAATAAGGCGCTCTGATGTGTTGATGAAGGGAGGAAGCACCAAATACTGGTCAGGGAATTCAGAATTTCATTTTTATTCTGTAAATGTAGGAGGGTTTTTTAAATTAAAATCTGGTGAAATGATAAGTATCCAGGTATCAAACCCATTGCTACTGGATTCATCACAAGAAGCAACTTACTTCGGGGCGTTTAAAGTAAGGGATTTAGACTGAATCTTCTAGTGTGCTGAAAATTGTTTGAGTTTTTAGTGGTCCAGAAACAACTTGAAGACAGAACTGAAATCTTTTGCAACCCAATTGCATCTGTATAAGCCATGTATCTCTAAAGACACGTTTTGGCCCTGTGCTGACTCCAGCGGGAGTCCCGCAAATGCGTAGAAGGGCAAAAGTACATAGTTCTCCTGATTCAGTCTTGTAGCAGTTTTACTTCCTATGTCTCCACTGGCTTCAGTAGAGTCATTATAACTTTTACATTGGTGTAGTTGAAGTCAGAGCAATTAGCACTATTGAACTTCTGTTTCCAAGTTCTGCCCTGACTTTTTAACTTGTGCTACTCTGTTTAGTTTTGGCACAAACATAGGGCAGGACAGAACTTGGCTCCCAACTTGCGTTTAGGGCTCAGTTATGCTTGGGGTTGAGCGTTCTGACCCTGAGACAGCAAAGATTATGAAAGTATGACTAATCCCATTGCATTTGATGTGGCTTTTCACATGCTTAAGTTAAGCCTGTTCTTGCTTTGCTGGATTAGGGTTGGAGAGCTCAGGCTGTGGCAGAAATGAGTTGCAGAACACCTAAACAGTTCAACTTAATTTTTTACCCGATTAAAAGGGCTATTCCAGGAAGAAGGGAGATCATCTGGCCTTGCAGTTCCAAAAGGTTAATTACAGGTCATTATTATTATTGTTGCACAGTTAATTGCAAATATAGATTGCCAAAATACAGTGTGCCTTTAAAGTATTACATTGTGCCAGAACCTGCAAAGACATTTTTTTAGACAAAAAGTATGTATTTTTATATTCTGTAATATCTAAAGTTATATTTCAGGTGTAATGTTTTGTGTAAAAAAAAAAAAAATAATGTAAATTATATTGTCCTATAGTATTTGATACGAAATATTTAAAATCTCTTGCTGTTTGTATATTTAATGTTTTAAACTGTTTTTAATGTACAGACATGTTAAACTGGTGCACTTTTTAATCCCAATGGGAAAAATTGCAGCTAAAAGAGGTTGTTTGCAATTAGCAAATGTAATATATATCTTTGTTCTTTTTAACTTAATAGATTCCTGTTAAACTTGTCAGTATTGTTGGGAGGGGGGGAATCACACCAATGTCATGAATAATTACACCAGAATGCTGGTCACTGGGTGCCTTTCAAACGTGGAGGGTAATTGACATTATAAAGCTGGCATTACCAAAAAAAACCCTAATAAAATTAATACATAATAACCCACAGAAATATATTAGGGGTATTTATAGTTACTGAACAGGCATATTTTCCTACAACAAAATCTGCAAGTTGTAAATTCTGCAATCGAGTAATGACTTTTTAGCTTAGTTTCCTGAAAAAGTGAAGCTTATGTCATTGCATTGCCTGTCCTTGCCTCCCCTTCTAGCTTTTAAAGCTGCACTCTCCTTGCCAGGTTTGGTAGATGATCGGCAGTGTTGAGATATTCATAGAGGTTTTATGAGAACAGACAGCTGAGAACAACTCAGCCGTTATACATTATTTGTCAGTGGCTGGCCACTGTTCATATTAGCCAACAAATTAATATGGGGAGGCTCCTAGCTAGCTGCAACGTGTGTTGTCGCTTGTGTAGTTGCTTGGCCAAAAGAGGTAGGAGGATGTAATCTGAGGGTGGGTAGGGGGGACAAGGAGAGCTGTATATACTGCAGGTGGGGGTTAGAGCACATCCAGGCAGGGAACAGCAACTTGTTGGGAAGGGATGAGGGGAGGTTTGGGGAGGGTTTGTCTGTGTGCTCTACGGGTGGAAAACCTGCTCTTTAGTGCGGTAGGAATCCCAGAGGTAAGACTCAAATCTGTAGGAATTGAGGCTTCATACAAATCCTCAGGCTTTTTTTTTTTTTTTTTGTAAGGAACAGAGTTGAATTCAAACAATTATTTTATACTGTATAATAAACATTTCTTTTTAATGTTAATATTGTTTTCTTACAAAATATATTTCTAAAAAAAAAAAAATCTTTCACATTTCTTTATTTTCCTGTGTATTTCTTGTGCAGCTTTGATTGTTTGGTTCATGTTTCAGAACATGCAGGCTGGGTATGGTATAACTCACTCCAGAAAACTGAGGCACAAATCAAATATTTTGAAACAACTACAGTTAATTTTATGGAGTTCTGATTTGGCTCCAAACATGCATCCACCACTTTCAAGCAGGGTTATTTCATCGGGGTTGGAAATGTAGCTGTAAATGAGGACTTCCCATTTATGTGTTACACCAAATAGTTGTCAGTCTGAAACCAGAAATGACTGAAGAATGCGGGGCATTTCTTTCAAAATTTCAAGACCTACAGCTCCTACTCAATCATATTTTCCCCACTATAGATATGTCCAGGGGCAGACTGGGAGAAAAATGTCTACTCTGTCTGTTCTGGGGGTTGAATCACTCTCTGGGGAGGTAGAGATGGGGGCCAGAATGGTTTGAAGGCTGGATTAGATTCAGGGCTTAGTACCTGACCTTAGCAAATGCTCTGCCTATGTATGGTGTTAGAGGAAGGAGGGGACCCCCCAGCACCAAGTGTCCTGGAAAGGATGGGAGCTAGGAGTGGGTGCTGGGCGAGGTCACAGCACCTGCAGTGGCTGTTGAGCCCCTGGGAAGGCACTTGCTGGTTACCTCTCCCTCCTAAGCCCCCAGAGGTTAGAAGAAGGGTTCTCAGGCTCAGCTGGTGCAAATTGTCCAGCTGTGTCATGAACTAGGTGGGAGGGAGGTGATAAATTAGTCCTCGTGGTGTTAGATAGGCTACCCTGGGGGTTGGAATCGGGAACCGCGCTCCGGCTGTCCTCTCTACAAAATACAAAGCAAATAGGAGGACCTTTTCTGCTCGTCACGCCCTGGCCCTTGTCCCTCCTACGTGCCTTTAAAAGGAAGCGGGAAGCTCCAGGTAGAGCTGTTAATACAGTTTGGTTTCGCTCTTTATAGCAGAGCAACTACAGATTGAAAAGCTCCAGTGGTGTCGTTTGGGGCAGCCTGGGCACGTGTGCCAAGATGATAAAGTAAAACCGCCTGCTCAAGCACTGACGTCCTAAACCAAATCTTCCCCTCAGAAGAGTCTGTTCTTTTTCTGTCTGCTTCATTTATTTAATTGCTTCGTTGGGACGCAATTAATGAAAAGAATAATCGATTAATGAAGTGAGTTACCTTGAGAGGAAGGTAATGGTTTCTTGGCTAAGAAAGATACACGTGACTCATTTTATAATCTTTGAAAGACAGTTTTGATCTGTGGATAGAGTGTGATGATTTGCTGTAATCTAAAGGTAAAAAAATCTTACTTGGAAATAGTTTATTTGGAATTCAGTGTATTTGCATGCATGCAAACATCTGCATACTCTTACTGTGTTTGTGCTAAAGTGAGTTTTCGTACATGGGGTTACAATTGCATATTTTGGCACCTGGGTACTCTTCCCTCCCCACCCCTCATCTTCCCAAGCTCTTTCCAGCCAGTGAGTGTTTCTTTTTCTGTCTATCCCACTTCCTTTTCTCTGGCTTCTTCCAGCTGCCAGTGTCTCCTGCTCACCCCCTCTCACTGACAAGCAGCTCTTTTTTCCTGGTGGTAGCAACAGCCTTGGGTCAGATCTAGGCCTACTTCCCCATATTTGGCCCACTTTCAGGTGGCTTTGCCGTGTCTTTGGGTGGAAAACAACAAGAATTATGTTTGTCAAAAAGATTTTTGAAGCATTGATGCAAAGGCTGAGCTGGATAGGAACAAAGAAAGGTAGTTGGGGAATAAGGAGCCAGTGTATTGGGCACACAAAGCAGTCCATATTGCCCTTTGGTTTGATGTACCACCTTCAGAGGGCTTCAAACAATTATCGCATGCTTATACTTTTACAAAGTTAGTCTCCGTCTTCACAAAATTAATCTCCAAACTTCACAAATATGACTCTTTGCAGCATTTTGCTGCGGTGATTTGCGAAAACTCACACCTAAACCAGAAAGTGTTCTTACACGTATGCGCAGGCAATTTCTTGTTCTTTCTCCCTCTCTGCATTGGTATCTTGTCTGATATTTTCTGGCTGCTGGTATTTGGGATCACCTGTGGACTTCGCAATTGTTGGCTTGCTTTTTTTAACTCACTGGAGTCTGCTATCATTTGTGACTAGCTAGAAAGCAAAGCTCCGTCATGAAAAACAGAAAACTGTGTCAGCTTGAGGCTGTTTAAATTGGATTTCTGAAATTTCTAGGCAACTTCAGGTGCTTCTTTTTTTCTGATTTTTTTAGCCTTAAGTCTGAATGTGATGTGTTTTCTACCTGGGTTTCCAAGGAAGCATTTGTGCTGGGGTGGAGGTGAGGGGCTGGGTATCTTTGATTTACTGCTACCTGTTCACAATCCATTTTATGAAGTTCAGGGAGGGCGCGTTTTCCTGCTATTTGTTCAGCATTTGAGCCATGTGCTCTCTACCACCTTCCCTCTTGCATGAGACACATTGCTTTTCTCCAGATCTCACATCACCAAACTCCAATCAATTTATGTTTGACTATGGCAGAAGACAAGCAGGAACTCCTATTGCTTTCAGCTCCTGACATGCTGCAAGTCACAAAATGATAGATTCATTTTCCCAACCTTCTGGCTCTTGATTCATTCACTGTGTGAGAGATCCATGGTTATTCTTTTAGCAGAGGATGACAGAATCCTTCTTTGACCGCCGAATTCACATTTTAAGTGCTATCATATCTTCCTAACCATGATGTAGCTTCTGCCTCATCCTATAGGTCCCAAACTCCCTCCGTCCCTGAGTCTGTACTATCAGCTGCAAGTAAGGCTGCCTGGTGGGTGGTTCTGGGGACTCCAACTCCATAAGGGGAGGATTCACAAACAGAATCCTCTGTCCTCTTCCCAGATCCCGGATTTTGGGACACTAAAACATGACCACGTCAAATGTTAACTGTTTGGGAAGTTCAGATACTCTCATATACGATGTTTTTGCCTCATGTCCACCAGTTTGAAGGATTTTAACCTACTCTTCCCTATTAATTGGACACAGCGAGTGAAATGCTTGGAATGATTTCTTCCCTACTGTGTTACAAAAAACCCCCCAGATGCCAGACATCAGTTCACCACAGATGTTGGCTACGAACGCGTGGAGTGGAGCAGACCTTCGTTGCTGGTCCACACGTTGTTGCTGGCCTGGTGCAGGTTCCTGCGCCGGCTCTGACCCCAGCCTGCACTCTCCACCCTGCTGACACCCTGGGGAACTGATGTGTGGCAAGAGGCATAACCTGCAGATACTTACTTTTCCTTCTGGGAATTAATAACTAATGACACTGCTTTAGTTAGCAGCCATTTGCAGATTGTCTACTCTTTTTTTTTTTTTTTTTTTTTTGTATAAATATCTCCCAAATATAATGCTTCCTGTGTCATGCAGAAGTCTGTCCAGCTCCCTGGACACCTGCAGCATTTTGCAATGTGAGCTTCACTAAATATTTTTTCTGCAGTACAATATCACATACAGTAACACAGCTTAAACAAAGCAAGGTCCATCTGGTTTAATTGTTTATCACTCATCATGGCTCCAGATCTTTACTCTGGAAAAACAGCTGCAGTTCTGGAAATGGATAGTTAGGTTATTTCTGTCCTGCTAACTGGAATAGGGCTGGAGTTACGAGGCTCTGAGTGGCAGGCATACAGCCTTGCAACTTAATCCAGCCTCTCTCAAGCAGAAGATCCTACCAAGTTGCAACCCACTAAGTTGTGTTTTTATCGCGTGAAACTGAGCAAATGTGCTGAACGCCCTGGGGCTTGACAGAGAGGGCTCCTCCAAGCAGGTCAAAACAGAGCCAGCAAGAGAGCCTAAAATAAACCCATGCGGGCAACATGAGCTTCTGCCTTTTTCTTCTTCGATCTATCACTGTCAATAGAGAGTAATAAATTAGACAATAGTCTGGTAGCACAGATCATTATTAATTTGTTTACTATTTCCTGAAAGCAGCTGTTGATTTTACTATCTATTGTCACCTGTAAATGTACAGTTGAATTAGTACTTACATGAATCTACATTTTCTCTCAGGTCTGACAGTCCTATTATAGCACCATGAATAAGAAGAGATTATTTTATTTTAACCTCATTAGCCTTAATATAAATATTAAACGCAATAGTATAAGTTAATATCACGTGTGTTGGAATGCAGTCCAGCATTCTGCTGCCTGTGGCTCAGTAGCACTTTATTCTATTTCTGCTTTGTTATCTGGCTATTTTTCTTTTTTTCAATTTTGCTGAAAATTACATTTAAAAAACATTTTTTTTTTTCCAAAGGTACAAGCCAAATAGAAATGCTCTCATGATTTATTTGAAAACATTCGGACAAATTTCCTCAAGTTTGCTCTTGTCCTATGGTATATGCCATCTGTACACTTGCAGAATTTTGCTGATGTATGAGATTGTGAAACAAAGCGGCTCACATAAAAAAGATAATTGAGAACTCTGTTGGCCCAGCTGTGCTGTAAGACTTGCTGAATGTGAAAAATTCCCCCCAAATACATAAATTGCTTGTTACAATTCATTCAGTTTTATTAATCTTGGTTAATATTGTACTGGTAAGAAAGGGCTTAGCTTCTCACTTTGAAATCAGTGGAGGTTTTCCTGCTGACATCAGTAAGATTAGTATTATAAATAGT